ACTCGATTTCGGTGGTGCCACTTATTATAAGATAGCACCACATCAATTCTTGAAGGTCTTCCTGAGTCCGTCTTTTTCGATGGGAACGATTTGTCTCCTGAACTGGGCTCCGGTGACTAACATCTTTGGAGTGGCCAGGGTCAGAAGCAGTGAAATTCACGTTCTCGTCGAGCTGCCTCAGGTCGACAGTAGAACAAGATTTGTTTTTTGGTTCTTACTTTGTCTTGTTCTCATTTTTTTGCTCTTTTTAAGCCAACAGCACGTGGCGTTCTCAAACGGTCACCCATCCAAGTTTGCACCACGCCCGATGCTGCTTAACTTCGGTGATCGTACGGGAACCGGTGTGACCAGCACGCTATGGCCGTTGGCTTTATTATTATTATTATTATTATTATTATTATTATTATTATTATTATTATTATTATTATATATTTACTTCTTCGCTATAAATCGTATAAAAATTGAAAACTTTATATATAAAAAAAATCCATTAAGAAATTTTTTTGCCCCCCTTTTCGTTCACACCCTCGAAACTTTCTTTAACACCACCAAATTTTATTTTTAAATTTTTTTTTTTTTTTTAATAAGTCATTGTTGGTACGCCTGCATTATGCACACACACACCTCATATATTCATATTCGAAATAATTAATTTTAATTATTATAAAAAGGTTTTGTCGATTTCTTTCACGTGTTTTATCGACGATATTTTTCATTCTCATTCTTATTCTCATTCCCATTATTATTATTATTATTTTATTACTTTTTTTTTTTTTTCTTATAAATACGAAAAATAATAATAAAAAAAAGGGAAAGAAAAAAATATTTATAATTCGTCTCCGTAAAAGTTATAAAACGAATCAAATAAAAGCAAAAGTCCATAAAAAAAAAAAAGAAAAAAAGAAAAAAAAGAAACTTTTTTAATTTAATTTCATTTTGTTTAAAAGATTGCATTTAAAAACTTTTCAAAGTTTTTCTTTTAGAATCGATTCGAAAAGAAAAAATGATAATAATATTAAAATATATACTATAAAATAAATTTTATATACCGAATAAAAATTTTTAAAAATCATAAATAATAATAATGGGAGGGAGGAAGAAGAGAAGAGGGAAGGGAGGAAAAAAAACGTTTAAAAAAAAAGGGAGGAAGGTTTTAAAAGGAAATTTCCCACGTGAATAAATTTAAAAAAAAATTTATAATTAAATAATAAAGGAAATTGTTCTTATTATGGGGAGTAAGTGAGTGAGAAAGAGAGAGAGTGAGTAAGTGAGAGAGAGAGAGAGAGTGAGTAAGTGAGAGAGAGAGAGAGAGAGAGAGAGATAGAAAGGCCACCGATACGAATTAGATCGAGGATGATTATCAATGTCATATCATTTTTATCTCTTTCAAAATGAAGATTTTATTAAACATCGTGCGTTAAGCGACACCAACCACGGGGGGGAGGGGAACCCCATGTATAACGAAAGGTTGTACAACAACCGATGATGATAACAAACACGAAAAATTTGTTTGTTTTGTTTTCAGACGTCATCGGCGTTGCTTCTTACGTGGTACTCCTAACGGATTATCAAAATTACGCTGGAGTTTTTTCGTGTCAACAGTTAGCTTTTGCTCACAGAAGATCGGCTACCATATTATCGAGAACGCCATTTTTAAATCATACTTATTTAGAAACCGTGAGTACAAAAAAAAATCTATTATTATTATTATTAATACCTTTAAATAATTATTAACGTATGAAAAATTATAAATCATTTATCATATTTTTTAAATCCTTGAAATTTTTTTTTTTTTAATGCGAACAAAGGGGGAAAAAAAATTTAAACAAATGCGTCTATTATTTATTTTACTGTAGTTTGTAATAACTCGCAAATTTTTTTTTTTAAAATTTATTAATTTAGCACGAAAATGCGTAAATTTTGGTCATTAGCGCCAAAAAAATTACCGTTACCGGTACAAATCATTTCGATGGTTTTTATTTAGCACTTTCGCAAAAAAATTTTTTGACCGCCATTACGAAAGTAAATTTTTTTTTTTTTTTATTAATAAAACGAATTTTTAAAACGCACGAAGGTTATTAGAGAATTTATTTCTTGCCAAATGTAGTAACCCTGACAATGAAGGTATTGTAATAATAATAATAATAATAATAAAGACGATTTCCAAGATTAGTCATTCTGAATAATATACCGTTTGTTTAAATGCGGAAGTTAATAAAAAAAATTTTTTTTTTTTTATTTCAGATACATAAAAAATTAGAAGAATTTAACATAAACCCTTTCGATTTAAGTATGATAAATCATGAAAAATGTTCAGAAGTTTCGTCTGAAACGACAAACATATCAATGACCGATTTACACGTACCATTCAATAAAGAAACGATCAGTAACGTAGTAAGTAAAAAAAAAAAAATTAAAATTTTTTTTATCGTATTTAAAAAAAAAAATAATAATGATAAATTTTTATTAGTTTCATACGGTTGGTAACGTGGCAGGAGAAACATTTGAAAAAGCAAGCGACGGAGTTAAAAATTTATATAATCATTATGTTAAAAACAATAATAATAATAATAATAAAAATGAAGAATTAATAACGGAAAATTCAGATGAATTTAAAATGTATAGAAATGCAAAAGATGATGCCGAATGGTTACCATAATTTTTTATTTATTTATTTATTTATGTATATGTACGATTATTATTTAAGTTAATTTACTCTCTGTCTTTTTATTATATTGTATTAATTATTTGTTTAAACAATTACTCATTTATTAATAAAAAAAATTACTAAAGTAAATCAATTTTTTTTTTAAATTTAAATTTAATAAGCTCACCACTAATTTTATCAATTTGTTTAAATGTAATTTTTTTTTTTTTAATTTCATTACAATGTAAATAATAATTTAAACAATTAAAAAAAGTTACGTAAATGTTTAAACAATTTAAATAATCATTTAATTATCCTTTTAAGGCAAATACGAGAGATTAATAAAATCCTAAACAAAAGAAAGAGAGAGAAAGAGGGGGAGGTTTTTTTTAATTTGTTTGTATTTTTTTTTGTTTTCTCTCTCTCTCTCCTCCCTCCCCCTGTCTCTTTTTTTATTCCCCGATAATTAAAATATACGTATAAGAATATTAATTAATTTATAAATAAAAAACTTTGTTTTAATGATGATGATGACTAATACCGACGAATTAAAAACCTAAGCCAAGTCACAACTAAAAACATCAAGGTCCGTTTTTTTTTTTTTTTTTGGGAATTTTACAAAAATTATTATACGTTAAATGTATTTCCGCTTCCTTAAGGAAAATTTTTAACAAAGAGTAATAATAATTTTATCGAAAAACTATAAGTAATAATTAAAGTAATAATTATTTTTAAAAAATAAAATGGTGATACTACAATCAAACATATATTATTTTCTCGCACCCTTTTTTTGACTTACTTTCATGTTTGAAAAATTGCATAACGAAATTTTTTAAGGAGTTAATTTTTGAAAAAAAAAAAAACTAGAACTTGAATTTTTTACGCAATCGATTTAAACAAAAAATGTTGTAAATAATTTACAAAACCTTTTTTTTTGTTTTTGTTTTGTTGGTAAGAGTTTCGATTTAAAAATATTCCATATTTCGATTAAGTAATTTTGCCCTTAAATAAATACAAGAAAAAAAAAAAAAACATTCGCAATACGGCCATGAAAATTTTTTTTTCTTTTAATTCTTGAAAGTTTTTCAGAAAAAAAATACACACGATGAAATTAATTGCAATTGTTTATTATTTTATTTATTAAATAATAATAATAATAATAATAAAAGTTTATATTTAATTTAAATAAATTTTTCGAACCAATACTTGAAACACGAGTTGTTGCGATATTAAAAAATAGAGCATATAATTATTAACAACGGAATTTTTTTTTTGTAAAAAGAGAGATTTCTCCAAAAATTTTTTTTTTTTTTTGTTTAAAGGCCAAGGAAACTTTTTGTGGAAAAAAATGGTTTACGAAAAAGACCCGTTGGATTAATTTTTTTGTTGGGTTACTTAAGAGAAAGAAGTTTCAAAAAAAAGTTGATTGGAAAAAATAAAGCTGGAACATGAAGGTTACTAACATAAAAATGTGCAAAAACGAAATATATAAAAAAAAAGAGAGAGAAAGAGAAATAAGTTTTTAATTGTTTAAAACGACTTGAAAATATTACAAAATGTATTATTATTAATAAATTTTTTTTAAAATGTTAATTAATTAATTAATTAAAAATCGTGTCATTAATTTTTTTGTTACAATTACGAAATCATTTTTTTTCCCACCATTTTATTATTTGTTATAAACAAATTTTTTAAAAAGGGAAAAATGTTTTTAAATTTATTTTCTATACGTCATTTCCTTTTATTTAAACATTTATATGGTAAATAAATAAATAAATAAATAAATAATAAAAAACAATTACGAGTAATAAAACTTGGTAGCAAAAAAAAAAAAATAGAAGTTAATTGTAAGGTTCTTTCCTTTATTTTTCACTATCATCATTACAAAATAAAAATTATTATGACAAATAATAATAATAATAATAATAATGACAATTTTTCGTGTGTGCGTGTGCGTGTGAACAAAATTAAATAATTACGTAAATAATTTTTTTTAAATTTAATAAATTACCCGAAAATTTTTTTTATTTTTTACCACGCGTAATAAAAAAACAAAATTCGTGACTCCATTTTTTTTTTTTTTTAAATTTTTATTCCCCTTTTTTTTTTTTTTAATTGTATGACACGGTAATTTCTCTCTCTCTCTCTCTCTCTCTCTCTTTTTATTACCTCCTACCATAATTTTTTTTTTTTCAAAACGTAATTACCACTCTTCATAAAAAAAAAAAATTTAAACCGACGAAACCTAAAGTTTTACATAAGTTTTTTTTTTATATTTTACGCCATTTTGATTTAACGATGACGTCATAATTTCTATTTAAAAAAATCAATCAATCGATTAATTATAATATATATAATCTATCCTAAAAATTTTTCTTTAATAAAAAAAAATAAAAATAAAAATGGTAGTTTTTCTAAAATTGATTCATAGATAAAACTTTCACTAAGCAAAAAAAAATAAATAAATAAATCATTTTAATAAAACGTGTGATAATATGATAATATCATCATCACGTTATTACGATTTAAAATAAAAAAATTATCATTATTATTATTGTGGATGCAAAAACCGGTGGACCAAAAAGAGAGAGAGAGAGAGAAATTTTTTTTTTATATATAGTATTTATGCCGTTTTTTCTTTAACTAACCGATACGCCTGCCAAATTCGAAACCGCATGTCGTACTTGCGTGTTATTTCCTATCAATATTTCACTACATTTTGTTGTTTACATATATTAAAGTTAACAGAGTTTTAAAAAAAAAAAAATAGGAAAATTTTGTGAAACCTTTTTGAAAAAAAAAAAATTATATTTTTTATTTTCCCGCCTTTTTTTTTCTAATCCGGTGTTTTAATTTCGAACAACGACTTAAACGATACCAAAAAAAAATTAATCGAAAAAAATCACAAGTGAAAAACAAAAAAGTGTGCAAAAAAAAAGTGAAAAAAAATGTTATAATAATAATAGTGTGTTTTAAAAATATTATCATTATTATTATCATTAATCGATCGATCGATTTATTAATTAATTAATTTTACGCGAGAAAATTTTGTGCGTGAAACGAAAAAAAAAAAATTATTGATTAATTATTTAAGTGTAAAAAGTTTTGTGTTGTTGTTGTTTTGTTTTGTTTTACTTCAATTTAAAAAAAATTTTTATTTTATTAAATCGATAATAATAATAATAAGAAGAAGAAGAAGAAGCAGAAGAAAACAAACAATTACCGGCTTTTTTACGTAAAAAAAAAAAAAAATTAATAATAATTAATATTATGTAATTATTTTATTTTTTATTTTTTTTCTCTTAACGTTAAGGGTTTTTATTAAAATTATCATCATTATTATTATTGATAAGTTTACAAGGAATGAATTCATTCATGATGACGTCATAATTAAATTTCAAACGAATTTTTTTAAAAAAATTTGAAATTGTTTTATGTGCACAACAACAACAACAAATTTTTATGTTTCAGGTTTATATTAAAATAAAATAAGAGAAAGAAGGAGGAGTAGAAGGGGTAGGAGGAGAACCTTACAACAGCAGCAGGAAAAATGTATTTGTTTAAACAAATAAACGTATTATTATTAACTTTTGTTGTTATTAATTTATATACGGTAGAATCAAATTTATATTTATTTTCAAATGATTTAAATCAAATGTTAGAATTAACGACGGAATACGTTCAGGGTTGTAAAATACATTACGACAGGTTAAGTAATTAATTACGAAATTTCCCCCCCCCCTTTTTTGATTACCTTGATTCAATTTATTTATTTATTTATTTATTTATTATTATTATTTTATTATTAAATTTTAGGAATTATATGGAAAATGTTATAAA